TCAGGGGGTGATAAGGCTGCCCTGCCCTTCTCCATCCTGAGATGCATGGAGGCCGTGTGGGGAGGATTCACAGAATACTACACCTCCCATCCAGGAGGGTTATGAGGTGGCCTGACAGGGAGCCAGAACCCCAATTCCTCCCAAAAGTAATGAAAAGAACCCCTTTGTGTGTCAACGGAGGCCAGGGAGGGAACCTGGACTTCTGGCAGTAATGATGGCAGTAATGATGTGGGACCCCTCTTCCCACGCCACAGCAGTTTCAGAGGAAAATACCTGAAATAGAAGGCTTCAGTAAGATCCAAAGCCTCCAGGTTTCAATAGGAAATTATTCACCATACCAAGAACTAGGAAGATCCCAAATGGAATGAAAAAAGGCAATCAACACTGAAGTGATAGAGGTATTGCAGTTATCTAAAAAAGATTTTAAAGCAGTCATAGGCTGGGCGCAGTGGCTCACACCTGTAATCCCAGCACTTTGGGAGGCTGAGGTGGGTGGATCGCATGGTCAGGAGTTTGAGACCAGCCTGACCAACATGCTGAAACCCAGTCTCTACTAAAAATACAAAAATTAGCCGGATGTGGTGGCGCATGCCTGTAATCCCAGGTACTCAGGAGGCTGAGGCAGGAGGCTGCAGTGAGCCAAGATCACGCCATTGCACTCCAGCATGGGCGACAGAGTGAGACTCTGTCTCAAAATAAATAAACAAATAAATAAATAAAGCAGTCATAAAAAATGCTTCAATGAGCAATTTCAAACACACTGTAAACAAATGAAAAATGGATGAAAAATCTCATCAAAATAATACAAGGCCAAAAGAGAAACCAGATGGAGATTTTAGAACTGAAAACTATAATAACAGAAATAAAAAAGATTAATAGATGGACTCAAAACAGAATATAGATCAGAGGGGAAAGAATCAGTGAACTAGAAGATAGAAGACTAGCAATTATACATTCTCAACAACAGAGACAGCATAGACAAAAACAAGATGAACAGAGCCTAAGAAGCCTGTGGGATTTTAATAAAACATCCAACATTTGTGTTATTCAAGTCTTGGATAGAAAGAAGAGAGAAAGTCAGGACAATTCCAAAGAAATGCACACCAAGACACATCATAGTCACACTTTTAAAATCAAAAAGGAAAACATTTTGAAAGCAGCAAAAGGGAAACATCACCCTGCCATTTACATGCTGAATGGTGAATGTTTGAATGCTTTCCCCATAAAATTGCAAGGCATTGCAAACAAGGCAAGGATATCCATTCTCACCACTCTTATCCAGCCTAATGCTGGAAGTCCTTGCCAGTGCAATAAGTCAAGAAAAGGAAAAGACCTATAGATTGAAAAGGAAGAAATTAAACTATTTTCAGGTGATACAGCTACCCACATAGAAAATCTCAAGGAATCTACAAAAATACTCCTAAAATGAATAAATGAGTTGAACAAGGTTAGATGATACAACATAAACCCAAGATAAACATATAAAAAATTAATGGCATTTCTGTATACTAACAATGAATACATGGGGTGATAGGAAAAGGACAGTTACATCCTTTTATTATCAAGGCTTTGTAGTAAAGCCTGGAACAAAACTCCCATACACTGTATTTCTTATACTTACAGTCCATACAAGATCATTTTTAAATTTTTTATTTTTATTTTTATTTTTTGAGATGAAGTTTTGGCTCTTGCCGCCCAGGCCAGAGTGCAATTTCACGATCTCGGCTCACTGCAACTTCTGCCCCCTGGGTTCAAGTGATTATCCTGCCTCAGTCTCCCAAGTAGCTGAGATTACAGGTGCCCCCAACTACGCCCAGCTAATTTTTTGTATATTTAGTAGAGACGGGGTTTCACCATGCTGACCGTCTTGAACTTCTGACCTCAAGTGATCCAACCTCATTGGCCTCCTAAAGTGCTGGAATTACAGGTGTGAGCCACCGCACTCTGTCCTGGTACATACAAGATTCTTAAAGTATTTATTTCCTGACCAGGCGCAGTGGCTCATGCCTGTAATCCCAGCACTCTGGGAGGCTAAGGTGGGCGGATCACAAGGTCAAGAGATCGAGACCATTCTGGCTAAGATGGTGAAATCCTGTCTCTACTAAAACCACAAAAAATTAGCCAGGCGTGGTGGCAGGTACCTGTAGTCCCAGCTATTTGGGAGGCTGAGGCAGGAGAATTGGCATGAACCCAGGAGGCGGAGCTTGCGGTGAGCCGAGATCTCACCACTGCACTCCAGTCTGGGAGACACAACTAGACTTCGTCTCAAAAACAAAAACAACAACAACACAACAACACAAAACCTATTTATTTCCCTTCTTAGAGCAGGGTGTGGTGGTTTAAGCCTGTAATCTCAGCACTTTGGGAAGCCAAGGCAGAAGGATTGCTTGAGTCCAGGAGTTCAGGATCAGCCTGGGTAACATAGCAAGACACCGTCTTTACAAAACAACAGCAACAACAAAAAATTAGCTGGATGTGGTGGCATACACCAGTGGTTCCAGCTACCTGGGAGGCTGAGGAGGGATGATCACTTGAGCCCAGGAGGTTGAGGATACAGTGAGCCATGATGATGCCACGGCACTCCAGCCTGGATGACAGAGTGAGACTCTCTGAAAAAACAAAACAAAACAAAAAAAGCAAAACTATTTCCCTTAAATAATTTATTAATTTGTCATTTTATTTAAGTTTGAAAGAGTTTTACTGTCCTAAGTGCCTAAAGTTTAGAATAGATATGCATTTTCCCAGTGTTTTTGGAAATAAAAGTTTTCTATGTGTCCTAGTCTGCTAGGACATATTCATTAATATCTTCAGAGATTTTTTGTGATTTTCATACTTCAAACTCATGACCCCACTCGAGCAATGGATTAGTTGGTTCACATCTGGTTATTGTGAAGCCTTGCCATTCAAGCCTGCATTGTAATATTTGTCTTATCCTCTCCATTCTTGCAACTCAACTAAAGTCAAGGATCAAGTCCTGCCAGTTTATTAGTGTATTAACTGGTACATATCAGGTACTGAATATATCTGTTGAGTAATGAATGGGTGGTTGCCACTGCCCAAGTGTAGGCACTCATGCTAAATTATCTTCCAAGAGCCAACCCTCCTGTCCTACTTCAATGCACAAGTGGTGAAAAGAATTTATAGAATCAAAATTCTTTCATATCAAGACTTTTTGCTTTCTAAATGAAGCCTGAGTTCATGGCGATTTTTTGGGTTCTTCTCTTCCTCTTAAACCCACATCTAGCCAATGTCCTCTACCTGCTACATGGCTCTTTTAGTCTCACTGCCTCCTTCCTCAGTGGAGCCCATATTGGTCTCGTTGCTAGTTTCCCACCAATGATCCTTCAGGTTGCCACTGGAGTGATCATTGTGATGTTATTTCCCATTGCCTGGAGACTGCGCTTAATTAATTTATGTGACTTTTAAGGTCCTAATTTTCTTTGCTGCCCACTCATCCCACCTCAGTTCCCACTAACATGTTCTCTGTGGATGTCCCCAATGAAGGAGGGGAGAAAAATGTACATTTCTGAAATACTGATCTATTTGTGATGCCCATGCTTTAACATATATATATTTTTTTCCATTTGCCTGAAATGCCTTTTCCCTGCTTGTTCTCCTGAAAGACGTGGTCATCTTTTACAGCTCAAATGCTTTTCTCCATATAACATATATTAGTCTGCTCAGCACAGTAACAGAATACAAGAGAATGGGTAACTTAAACAGTTTATTTTTTCACAGTTCTGGAGGCTGAAAGTCCATGATCAAAGTGTCATCAGGGATGGTTTCTTCCAAGTCCTTATTCTTTGGCTTGCTGATGGCCACCTTCTCCCTGTGTCCTCACATGGCCTTTGCTGTGTGAGCATACCTGGAGTCTCTTCCTCTTTTTACAAGGACACCAGTGCTATTGGGTTGGAGCCCCACTCCCATGACCTCATTTAATCTTCATTACATCCTTAGAGGCCCTATGCCCAAATATAGTCACATGGGGGATTAGGGCTTCAACTTACGAATTTTGGGGGAACACAGTTCAGTCCATAAAATCAGGTCTCCCCTCATTGCCTGAGGCAGAACTGAGTGTGGCTTCTGTATTAGTTCATTCTGACACTGCTATAAAGAACTACCTGACACTGGGCAATTTATGAAGACAGTAGGTTTAATCGACTTACAGTTCCACAGGAAGCATGACTGGGAGGCCTCAGGAAGCTTACAATCATGGTGGAAGGGAAAGGGGAAGCAAGCACCTTCTTCACATGGCAGCAGGAGAGAGAGAGCAAATGGGGGAGGAACTGCCAAACACTATTAAACCATCAGATCTCATGAGAACTCACTATCATGAGAAGAGCATAAGGGAAATTCACCCCCAAGATCCAATCACCTCCCACCAGGTCCCTCCCCCAACATTTGGAATTACAATTCAACATGAGATTGGGTGGGGACATAAAGCCCAACCATATCAACTTCCCTTCTGCTCTCCTTGGAATTCCTAAAGACCTTCATTATCTAATGGCTTATAGCCGTGATTTATTGGCCTTTCTACCAAATTGTAAAGCCAGAGAGACCCTGGTTTGCTTGCTTTAATCTTTGAAACTTAATAAATATTTGTTAAATGCATATTATTTTATAACAACTTGGGTGACAAATAATAAAAATACTTATTAGTTGAATTTACATTTATGCTTATTGAGAAGATTTTCCAAATATGTAATTTTATTCATTTGATTTTAATTCCCCTTCCTTTAGAAATTAACTCTTTCAGACTCTAGGTCCATGTTCAATATTTTTTAACACCTACAGAACTGTTTATTAGTTTGGATACTGGATGAATCAAGCTCATTAAGTTCTGGGGGAAAATATTAAGAAAAATCATGTAGACTTTGAAGTTTATTTGCCTTCTAGGTGTGTGCTTACAGAATAGAGCATTTCATCAAACCACGTTATTGATTGGCTTTGTTGCTATCCGCTTCAATTCCCACTCTTCTTTCCTTTGCCTCCTCGTTCAGATAAACAAGCTGGAGGCACGCCTGAGGCAGGCAGGGTGTACAGATGTTAAAGGAGTTCCAAGGAAGGCTGAGGAGCGCTGGATGAAAGAAGACTGCACTCACTGCGTCTGTGAGGTTTGTGCTGCGAGAAGTTTTCCCCTCCAGCTCCCCCCATTTCACTTCTCCTAGCCAGCCACTTGAAGCATAATTGAAAAATTCAAAAGGAGAAAAAAAAAACTTTATGTCAATAGATTCTAGGTATATTTTTAAGATCAAGGTACTGGTGTGAAATTTTGAGGTTTTTGCTTATTGATAAAAAAGTATAGCCACAGTCTTATGAGCACTTGCCAGAGACAACGAGCTTTTTCCATGTTCACCGATGGACAAAGGAGCTGAGGCTAAGGAAGTTTATGTCAACAAGTAAACTGAGCCAGCCTGGGACTTGAGTTCATCTCATTATTCTCCAGTCAGGCTCACTATAAACACTGTGGGCACTTGGTAAACTACCCAATTCTATGGAAAAATAAAAAAGTGTTGTCATGGTGTCCACCAAAACAAAAAAACATGCTCTATATTTGTTATTTAGTTTGCTTTTTGAACAGAGCTGATTCTTTCCAGCCATCTAGAAATGTATGAACTTCCTCAGCTAATCCTACCATATAGTACGATACGGTAGGTAACATTTTATAGGGCAGCCTTGCTCTTCACGCTGCAAATGTGTGGAAAGAAAGATTGAATAGAAACCATGCAAAAATGAGCTTATACTATGAACAATTTTTATTGTATTGAGACAGTCAGCTTATTAGATTATGTATTATAAGAAATATTTATTTGTCTTTTAAGTACTTTGACTATAAAAAACATGGAGGTGATATGTGCATGTTGCCTTTCAGAGTGGCCAGGTCACCTGTGTGGTGGAGATTTGTCCGCCGGCTCCCTGTCCCAGTCCTGAATTGGTAAAAGGAACCTGCTGTCCAGTTTGCAGAGACCAAGGAATGCCAACTGATTCCCCAGAGAAACGCTAATAAAAGTGTTGTGCTCTTGAGCCCTGAATGGAAAATTTCTCAGGAAGAGACACTTAGGACTTTGGCACTTTTAACTTGTAGTCACATCATTGATATGGAAACCACTGACTTAAGCAAGTTACTTCATTTAATCTTACATATACTGAAGATCTTTTATTTTGTTCATTTTCTAACACATCTTGAAATAATTCAAAACTAAAAGCAATAAAGTGCATAGGAAATATTTTATCATGAGAAATGTTTCTTACTGTAAGCTGTCAGTTTTATATACCGCATCTGGAAATAAAAAGAATACCATAGAATATTTAAAAAATATACAAGTGTTGTGGAAAATCTCTAATTTTTGAATTTAGAGAGGTCTCCAGGTTTCATAATCTGCAGGAATTTTGAAATAATGAGTTTCACACTTACGAAAACATCTGGAAGGGTCTATGATACATTCATGACAATGTTGTGATGCTGTTCTCCCCACTGACCCCCCTCTCTCAGATCTACAACCTAGACAATTGTCAGATTTTGCTGGGAAGGCATTTATCTTAACCTTCATTAGTCTCTTAAGTCCTGGGACATAAGGAAAAAGTCAGTAAAGGAATATCATTATTTTAGGGAACTTGTTAGTTCTGCATGTGGCTGAAAAATGCAAACTCTCTGAAAGAAAGAGACTAAAGCAGAATTGCTCAATGTCTGCCTTCCTCTAACTTGTCATTGTTACCATTCCTGAGATGTCAAAATTGAAATAGAGCCAAGCCTGAAATTCAGGAGCAATCTGAATTTACTATAAGCAGACTTGAAAGTGTTTCTGACTTTTACAAAAGGTGTTGCTGTAGGGTTCTTCTAATTTGGGCACTCTCTTACAGCATTTGACACAGAACCCCATAGACAAGTGTATTTATACTCAGAGTTGAGTATTAAGTAATTTAGGTGATTTTCACTTCATATTAGATCACAGCCTTTAAAATCTGACATAAAAATATGTACTCATATGTGGGGTTGATAGATCTTTTTAAAGAATACTTTGTGCCAAGGCTTTTTTTTTTTTTTTTTTTTGAGACAAGGTCTCACTCTGTCACCCAGGCTGGAGTGCAGTGCAGTGGTGCCATCACAGCTCACTGTAGCCTCCACTTCCTGGGCTCAAGCAACAGTCTCATCTCAGCCTCTTGAGTGGGTGGCGCGACAGGTGCATGCCACCATGTCCAGCTAATTTTTTTTTAAATTTTGTAGAAATAGGGTTTCACTGTGTTCCCCAGGCTGATCTCAAACTTCTGGCTTCAAGCAATTGTCCCTCCTCAGCCTCCCAAAGCACTGGAATTACAAGCATAAGCAACCATGACAGCCAAACCCTTTGAGGAACTATTTCATGTAGTGTGCGGCCAAGAGAGGGCCTCAAAGAGACAGTGCTACTGTTTTTCAATTACAAAATAAACTTTTAAAAATAGGCATCATTTCCCAATATTTAGAGTTCTTTTGTAAAATGCAGTATTAGTTTTAGAGAAAATATTCTGGTAGCTTTTTTATCGTGAGTGAGGAAAGATGTTTCTGGAGTTTGTAGTATATTTGTTTTTAAATGTGTTAGTGATTCCCAAGATCCAAATTAATTTTTACTAAAAAAGTTTAAAAGGATAAATCCTAATATGCCATAACAGTTTTATATTTCATGGCCTTTAAAAATCCAAACCAATTTTTTATTATACTAAGTTTTAAAAGATAAAACCTAACAAATCTCAGATGCTTGACATTTGGTGGCCTTTTAAGACCTAACATGGTGAAATGCAGGTAAATCTTATGAATGTAAGTGTAATGCGTCCCTCAGAAACAGTCACAGTAAGCTTACCTGCAGATGACAGTAACAAATGACAATTACGAATGAACTTGGTCAAGTTTAGGTTTCTCATAATACTCATTTGCTGTTGTTCACCTTACTGCCATTTAAACAAGACCTATGTGATTGCTGATTTTATTTTTTACACACTAACCACACATTAACTTGGATGTCACATGGTTAATATGACTGGCTCATATAACATAAACAGATATTAAAATAACAGAATGAAATTATCATTTAAAATGGAACTGGATTGACTACATGAGGATTTTAAAAACTGTTTGTCGATTGACAAGGTAACCTGAAAATTCAGCCAACTTTATAGACATCATTATAATTCCGTCATATAAATTGCTTTTTACTTTGTACATTTTACTGTATAACATTTGTTTGTCTATGTTTTTAATATTGTTTTATTCTTGAAAGTAATATTGCAAATGGTAAAAATTTCAAATATTTCCCAAGGATATACACCCTGTCCTTCATTTCTCCAGTCTAAGTGCAATGACTATTTTTAATTTTAGGATGTGTGCCTGTGTGTGTGTATGTGTGTGCATGTGCCTTTGTGTGTGTGTAGTAGAAATTTCCATTTTTCAGATTTTAAAAGAAAGTATCACATCAAAAATAAATGAGCTGGGTAAAAGCTACGTAAGCTGATAAGACTTACACACGTGAAGTGGTAATGATATTTTGAGAGAAAAGAAACTAAGTCAAGTTAGAGGAGAACTTGGATTTTTAGAAATTTAGAATCGTTTAGAAGTGGAAAGTATCAAGTAATCTGTTTTTTGGAAAAATATGTGAAAGAAACAACACGACTTGCTGTCAGGGCATGGAATATGTGATTGACAATGTGATACCATTTGCCCACAAAAGAAAGAAAAAATGTATAAAGGTAAAACACATGAACTGGATGTACAAGTGACTCTGAAGGGCAGAGCATGGAGGCAGAGCTAAAGGAGCAGGCTGGAGCCACACAGGTCTATGCTGATGAATCTGGAGAACATTCCAATTTGATCCTGGTAATGAACCAAGCACAATGAAGACAAGGAGCTCTAGTGCCCAGTGTTAAATCAAAGCCCAGACACTAGAAGCGCAAAGAGCCTGCAAGACTACGTTTTACGTTTTATATTTTAAACCCATGCCCCAAATTTCTAATGACATGGGAAACTGAACTAACCAGAATGCTGTTCTGTTTCAGGTTTCTAAAATGCTGAACAAAATATGATACAGAACATGAAATATGTAATTGAATATGAGAGGAAAAAAACACGGAAAGTCTCTGAGTTTTACAACGGAAGGAACCTAAATCAAGAGATACAAAAGGCAAGCCAGGGACAAAATAAAGTCAGATATAGGTAGGGCCTGGTAAAGTTGAGGCTGGTGTTTTAAATTCACACTCGGGATTAGATGGTGCAGCCTGGGGCCAGGACAATGCTATGATCATAAACCAAGTTGCTTCCTTAGGACGTCCTTCCCATGGAGGATGCCTGGAAAATCTGGTCTCCGATCCAGGGATGCTGCAGAGAAGGTCCTTTCTATTCCCAGCTTGGGATGGAAGAAACTCTTATCCCATGCCCTATGGAGGTCTGCAGTTAAATTGACACTAGCCTTAAGGTTTGGAAATCCCAAGCTAGGAAATGGATGTGAACAGTTGCCCTGTCCCAATAAAGAAATCACAAACCATATGAGGAAACGGCTCATCACACAGATTAGTGAAAAAATCACAACAAATAGGATTATTAGCACCCCAAGGATTTAAGATAGTAAAAAATTCTGAAGGATACTAAGAGAAGGAATGGAGCTGGTGGAAAATAGGAAACATTTTGAAAAACTGACCCTGTGTTGCGCTTTATATTTTAACAAATTTCAGCGATCGAGTGGTATTTTACACTGTATGTTACTTCATAACAAATACACTCAAAATAGAAAACTAATAATTAACAGAATGATAGTATATGCATATACTTTCATCAAAAAATAGATTAGGATGGAAATTATAAAATATTTAGAGTGAACCCAAAACTAAAAAGTATCTCAAAACTTGTGGAAAGCAGTTATAATTGTGAAGTATAATTGAGTGATGAGCATTAATTCACTTTGATCACATCTGAATGATTTCTACTTTTAGCCTCTGCAGTTCTCTCTGACCACAAGTAAGCACAGAACACTTAATACACAGGTCTCTGATGCATAGGCCGCGTCACTGTAGGCATTTGGGGTGGAACGGAGTAATGGAAAATATGAGAAAAAAGCTTGAATCTTAGAACATTTTGGGAAGAAAGTGACAGTCCTTTAGTCACTGTTCCCCTCTGCACTAGCAGTGGAGGGTTATAAAAATACCCAATGGGGAAAAAACACCTAAGTGGAGTCCTCCAGGTGATGACTGCTTAGGAATCACCCATCTATTAAGATATCACCACTACTGGGAATGACAAGCATTTGAAATGGTACCTTTATAAAAAGAGAGCATGAGGTTGGGCACAGTGGTTCACACCTGTAATCCCAACACTTTGGGAGGCCGAGGAAGGTGGATCACCTGAGGTCAGGAGTTTGAGACCAGCCTGGCCAACATGGCAAAGTCCCGTCTCTACTAAAATTACAAAAATTAGCCAGGCATGGTGGAGCACACATGTAATCCCAGCTACCTGGGAGGCTGAGACAGGAGAATCACTTGAACTCAGGAGGCAGAGGTTGCAGTGAGCCGACATTTTGCCACTACACTCCAACCTGAGTGACAGAGTAAGACTCCTAAAAAAATAAAAGGCCAGGCACGGGGGCTCATGCCTGTAATTCCAGCACTTTGGGAGGCCGAGGCGGGAGGATCATCAGGTCAGGCGATTGAGACCACCCTGGCTAACACGGTGAAACCCCGTCTCTACTAAAAAAATATAAAAAATTAGCCGGGCATGGTGGTGGGTACCTATAGTCCCAGCTACTCTGAAGGCTGAGGCAGGAGAATGGCGTGAACCCAGGAGGTGGAGCTTGCAGTGAGCCGAGATTGCGCCACTGTACTCCAACCTGGGTGACAGAGAGAGACTCCGTTTTTGTTTTTTTTTTTTTTTTTTAAAAAAGAGAGCATAATGATGACCAAAATGTATAGTGCTTATTTTATAGCCAGTATGTGTAGTCACGGCCTTGTGGCATGGGACCATATGTTAAAAGTCAGTTATATGCCTTGAAAAAAAGCAACACTGCTTCTTAGAGTACTGAATATCATGTTGTCTCAGATGTTAAGCAGCAGAAAATGTAAAGGATGTGCTCCTAACTTCTCAAAGGATTTGAAGTTTAAATGAAAATAGAAGAGTCATGCAAACCAACTTATTTGACTGATATTGTCACAGAAGCAATGTTTCTTTGAAATATACATATACACAGTGTATATGTGTATCATGTACATATATATATTTGTATATGCTTGTGTATATGCTTGTATATATTTATCTGTGTATATATATAGTCCCAGAGTCTTGTCTGGCCTTTCTCCTACCTCC